ACCCACTCACTCACCCACTCACTCACTCACCCACTCACCCACTCACCCACACACTCACCCACTCACTCACCCACTCACCCACTCACTCACACACTCACCCACTCACTCACCCACTCACCCACTCACTCACACACTCACCCACTCACCCACTCACCCACACACTCACCCACTCACTCACCCACTCACACACTCACTCACCCACCCACTCACTCACTCACTCACCCACCCACTCACTCACCCACTCACTCACTCACTCACCCACTCACTCACTCACCCACTCACTCACCCACTCACTCACCCACCCACTCACTCACCCACTCGCTCACTCACTCACCCACTCACCCACTCACTCACCCACTCACCCACTCACCCACTCACCCACTCACCCACACACTCACACACTCACTCACCCACTCACCCACTCACTCACACACTCACCCACTCACTCACCCACTCACCCACTCACTCACACACTCACCCACTCACCCACTCACCCACACACTCACCCACTCACTCACCCACTCACACACTCACTCACCCACCCACTCACTCACTCACTCACCCACCCACTCACTCACCCACTCACTCACTCACCCACTCACCCACTCACTCACTCACCCACTCACTCACCCACCCACCCACTCACCCACCCACCCACGTATCCACCCACCCATCCACCCACCCACTCACCCACTCACCCACCCACCCACTCCTCACCCACTCACCCACCCACGTACCCACCCACCCACTCACCCACCCACTCACCCACCCACGTACCCACCCACCCACTCACTCACTCACCCACTCACTCACCCACTCACTCACACACTCACTCACTCACTGACTCACTCACTCACTCACTGACTCACTCACTCACCCACTCACTCACACACCCACCCACTCATCCACTTACTCACTCACTCACTTACTCACTCACTCACTCACCCACTCACCCACTCACTCACTCACTGACTCACTCACTCACTCACACACTCACTCACTCACCCACTCACTGACTCACTCACTCACTCACACACTCACCCACTCACTCACTCACTCACCCACTCACTCACTCACTGACTCACTCACCCACTCACTCACTCACTCACACACTCACTCACACACTCAGTCACCCACTCACTCACTCACTCACCCACTCACTCACTCACCCACTCACTCACACACTCACTCACTCACCCACTCACTCACCCACTCACTCACCCACTCACTCACTCACTCACCCACTCACTCACTCACTGACTCACTCACTCACCCACTCACTCACACACTCACTCACACACTCACTGACTAACTCACACACTCACTGACTAACTCACACACTCACACACTCATTCACTCACTCACCTACTCACTCACACACTCACTCACCCACTCACTCACCCACTCACCCACTCACTCACTCACTGACTCACTCACCCACTCACTCACACACTCACTCACTCACACACTCACTGACTAACTCACACACTCACTGACTAACTCACACACTCACACACTCATTCACTCACTCACCCACTCACCCACTCACTCACTCACCCACCCACTCACTCACTCACCCACTCACTCACTCACCCACTCACTCACTCACTCACCCACTCACTCACTCACTTACTCACTCACCCACTCACTCACTCACTCACTCACACACTCACTCACTCACTCACCCACTCACTCACTCACTGACTCACTCATCCACTCACTCACTCACCCACTCAGTCACTCACTGACTCACTCACCCACTCATTCACACACTCACTCACTCACACACTCACTCACCCACTCACTCACTCACTCACCCACTCACTCACTCACTGACTCACTCACCCACTCACTCACACACTCACTCACACACTCACTGACTAACTCACCCACTCACCCACTCACTCACTCACTCACCCACTCACTCACTCACTCAGACACTCACCCACTCACTCATTCACCCACTCACTCACTCACTCACCCACTCACTCACTCACTCATCACCCACTCACTCACTCACCCACTCACTCACTCACTCACCCACTCACCTACTCACCCACTCACTCACACATTCACGCACCCACTCACTCACTCACTCATCCACTCACTCACTCACTCACCTACTCACTCACACACTGACTCACACACTCACACACTCACCCACTCACTCACTCACTCACACACTCACTCACCCACTCACCCACTCACTGACTCACCCACTCACTCACCCACTCACTCACCTACTCACTCACTCACCTACCCACTCACTCACCTACCCACTCGCCCATTCACTCACTCACTTTCTCACCCACCCACTCACTCACCCACTCACCTACTCACTGACTCACCCACTCACCTACTCACTGACTCACCCAAACACTCACCCACCCACCCACTCACTCAATCACCTACTCACTGACTCACCCACTCACCCACCCACTCACCCACTCACTCCCTCACCTACTCACTGACTCACCCACTCACTCACCCACTCACACACTCACTCACCTACTCACCCACTCACTCACCTACTCACCTACTCACCCACTCACCCACTCACCTACACACTGATTCACCCACTCACTCACCCACCCACCCACTCACTCACTCACCTACTCACTCACCCACTCACTGACTCACCCACTCACTCACCTACTCACTCACCCACTCACTCACCTACTCACCCACTCACTCACCCACTCACTCACTAACCTACTCACCCACTCACTCACTCACCCACTCACCTACTCACCCACTCACCCACCTAATCACTCACTCACCCACTCACTCACTTACCTGCTCACCCACTCACTCACCCACCCACTCACCTACTCACTCACTCACCCACCTACTCACTCACTCACCCACTCACTCACTTACCTGCTCACCCACTCACTCACCCACTCACCTACTCACTCACTCACTCACCTACTCACTCATTCACCCACTCACTCACCCACTCACCCACCCACTCATCCACTCACCTACTCACCCACTCACTCACCCACCCACTCACCTACTCACTCACCCACTCACTCACTCACCCACTAACCCACTCACTCACTCACCTACTCGCCCACTCACTCACTCAGTCACCTTCTCACCCACTCACTCACTTACTCATCAACTCACTCACTCACCCTCTTGCCCTCTCACTCACCCACTCACTCACCCTCTCACCCACTCACTCACCCACTCACTCACTTACCCACCCACCCACCCACTCACTCACTCACCCACCCACTCACCCACTCACTCACCCACACACACACATAGACACACAACAACAACCGCCATTCGCCACTAAGTGGCGGTGACGTCACCACGACGCTTGTGCCAGGCCATGTGCACCCTGAGGCCACGTGAAGTGTCGAACGCCCGCGGGCAGGAGGTCACGGGGCAGACCCAGGTGCCACGGGTCGACTGACTGAGATGAGTGGCTGGTGCACCACCTGTGCCCCATACTGTGCCAACCTGCTGTGCTTTAGCCACCCGGCGCTCCGCTCGTTGTTGTGAGCGTCGCTCCTCCGCCCTCCGTTGTTGTTGGAGGGCGACTGCCTCCAACTGCCCAGTAGCGTCCCTCACGAGCCTCCTCCACAGAGGCCGATCTTGACACCGCTGGTACCAGTCATCGGCAAGTCCACTCAGCTCCACGTCCTCCTGTACCATATCACTCCATCTCTTCTCTAGCCCGTGCCGCGCCCGTTTAGCCCCCTCGATCCGGCCGAACAAAAGCTGTTTCGGCATGCGGTGGCTGGGCATGCGGGCTACATGACCCAGCCAACGCAGCCTTGCCTGCCGGAGGAGCTCACCGATGGGACCTTGCACAGATCTTTCAAGGTTGCGTAACGCTGTGTGGAAGCTACCTGGTCTGTCGCTCCGCACTAAGCTTCAGGTCTTCTCGGCCACGGTCATTCCCTCCCTTCTCTACGCTTGCGAAACGTGGACCCCCCTAATGGAACATCTTCCCCGGTTAGAAACATTTAGGCTAGCCTGCCTACGATCCATCCTGGGTTTAACCAGGCTGGATTGTGTGAGGAGCTCACAAATCCTTGAAATATCTGGACAAATTCCCATCGGTGAGCTCCTCCGGCAGGCAAGGCTGCGTTGGCTGGGTCATGTAGCCCGCATGCCCAGCCACCGCATGCCGAAACAGCTTTTGTTTGGCTGCATTGAGGGGGCTAAGCGGGCACGGCACGGGCTAGAGAAGAGTGATGTGGTACAGGAGGACGTGGAGCTGAGTGGACTTGCCTATGACTGGTACCAGCGGTGTCAAGATCGGCCTCTGTGGAGGAGGCTCGTGAAGGATGCTACTGGGCAGTTGGAGGCAGTCGCCCTCCAACAACAACGGAGGGCGGAGGAGCGACGCTCACAACAACGAGCGGAGCGCCGGGTGGCTAAAGCACAGCAGGTTGGCACAGTAGGGGGCACAGGTGGTGCATCAACCAGTCATCTCAGTCAGTCGACCCGTGGCACCTGCTGGGTCTGCCCCGTGACCTCCTGCCAGCGGGCGTTCGACACTTCACGTGGCCTCAAGGTGCACATAGCCTGGCACAAGCGTCGTGGTGACGTCACCGCCACTTAGTGGTGAATGGTGGTGGTGATGGTGGTGATGATGATGGTGATTGCGGTGATGATGATGATGGTGATTGCGGTGATGATGATGGTGATTGCGGTGATGATGATGGTGATTGCGGTGATGATGATGGTGATTGCGGTGATGATGATGGTGATTGCGGTGATGATGATGGTGATTGTGGTGATGATGATCGTGATTGCGGTAATGATGATGGTGATTACGGTGATGATGATGGTGATTGCGGTGATGATGATGGTGATTGCGGTGATGATGATGATGGTGATTGCGGTGATGATGATGATGGTGATTGCGGTGATGATGATGGTGGTGATGATGGTGGTGATTGCGGTGATGATGATGGTGATGATGGTGATTGCGGTGATGATGATGATGATGGTGATTGGGGTGATGATGTCTCTGCTTCAGGTTATCTCCTCTTCAAAGAATTTTGTGAAAACGTGGTGGACGAACCGGTACCACAACTCCAGTTCTACGAAGAGGTGGGTGGGTGGTGTGTGGGTGGGTTGGTGGGTGAGAGGGTGGGTGGGTGGGTGAGTGGGTGGGTGGGTGAGTGGGTTGGTGGTTGGGTGAGTGGGTGGGTGGGTGGGTGAGTGGGTGGGTGGGTGAGTGGGTGGGTGGGTGGGTGGATGAGTGGGTGGGTGGGTGAGTGGGTGGGTGGGTGGGTGAGTGGGTGGGTGGGTTAGTGGGTGGGTGGGTGGGTGAGTGGTGGGTGGGTGGGTGAGTGGTGGGTGGGTGGGTGAGTGGTGGGTGGGTGGGTGAGTGGTGGGTGAGTGGTGGGTGGGTGGGTGAGTGGTGGGTGAGTGGTGGGTGGGTGGGTGAGTGGTCGGTGGGTGGGTGAGTGGTCGGTGGGTGGGTGTCGGGTGGGTGGGTGAGGAGTGGGTGGGTGAGTGGGTGGGTGGGTGAGTGGGTGGGTGAGTGGGTAGGTGGGTGGGTGAGTGGTGGGTGGGTGGGTGAGTGGGTGGGTGAGTGGGTGGGTGGGTGGGTGAGTGGGTGGGTGGGTGGGTGAGTGGGTGGGTGGGTGGGTGAGTGGGTGGGTGGGTGGGTGGGTGAGTGGGTGGGTGGGTGGGTGAGTGGGTGGGTGGGTGGGTGAGTGGGTGGGTGGGTGGGTGAGTGGGTGGGTGGGTGGGTGAGTGGGTGGGTGGGTGGGTGAGTGGGTGGGTGGGTGGGTGAGTGGGTGGGTGGGTGAGTGGCTGGGTGGGTGAGTGGGTGGGTGGGTGAGTGGGTGGGTGGGTGGGTGAGTGGGTGAGTGGGTGGGTGAGTGGGTGGGTGGGTGAGTGGGTGGGTGGGTGGGTGGTTGGGTGAGTGGGTGGGTGAGTGGGTGGGTGGGTGGGTGAGTGAGTGAGTGGGTGGGTGGGTGGGTGAGTGGGTGGGTGGGTGAGTGGGTGGGTGGGTGGGTGAGTGGGTGGGTGGGTGGGTGAGTGGGTGGGTGGGTGAGTGGGTGGGTGCGTGAGTGGGTGGGTGAGTGGGTGGGTGAGTGGGTGGGTGGGTACGCGGGTGGGTGGGTGAGTGGGTGGGTGAGTGGGTGGTTGAGTGAGTGGGTGGGTGAGTGAGTTTGTGGGTGAGTGAGTTGTTGGGTAAGTGAGTGAGTGGGTGGGTGGGTGAGTGGGTGGGTGGGTACGTGGGTGGGTGGGTGGGTGAGTGGGTGGGTGAGTGGGTGGGTACGTGGGTGGGTGGGTGGGTGAGTGGGTGAGTGGGTGGGTGGGTGAGTGGGTGAGTGGGTGGGTGGGTGAGTGGGTGAGTGGGTGGGTGGGTGGATACGTGGGTGGGTGGGTGAGTGGGTGGGTGGGTGGCTGAGTGGGTGGGTGAGTGGGTGAGTGAGTGGGTGAGTGAGTGGGTGAGTGAGTGAGTGGGTGAGTGAGTGGTGAGTGGGTGAGTGAGTGGTGAGTGGGTGGGTGAGTGAGTGGTGGGTGGGTGGGTGAGTGGGTGAGTGGGTGGGTGGGTGGGTACGTGGGTGGGTGAGTGGGTGGGTGGGTGGGTGGGTACGTGGGTGGGTGAGTGGGTGGGTGGGTGAGTGGGTGGGTGAGTGGGTGGGTGAGTGGGTGGGTGAGTGAGTGGGTGGGTGTGTGAGTGGGTGAGTGGGTGGGTGAGTGGGTGGGTGGCTGAGTGGGTGAGTGGGTGGGTGGGTGGGTGGATACGTGGGTGGGTGGGTGAGTGGGTGGGTGGGTGGCTGAGTGGGTGGGTGAGTGGGTGAGTGAGTGGGTGAGTGAGTGGGTGAGTGGGTGAGTGAGTGGGTGAGTGAGTGAGTGAGTGGGTGAGTGAGTGGTGGGTGGGTGGGTGAGTGGGTGGGTGGGTGAGTGGGTGGGTGAGTGGGTGGGTGGGTTCGTACGTGGGTGGGTGGGTGAGTGGGTGGGTGGATGAGTGGGTGGGTGGGTGGGTGAGTGGGTGGGTGGGTGAGTGGGTGGGTGGGTGAGTGGGTGGGTTGGTGGGTGAGTGGGTGAGTTTGTGGGTGGGTGGGTACGTGGGTGGGTGGGTGAGTGGGTGGGTGAGTGGGTGGGTGGGTGGGTGAGTGGGTGGGTGGGTAAGTGGGTGGGTGGGTAAGTGGGTGGGTGGGTGAGTGAGTGGGTGAGTGAGTGGGTGGGTGAGTGGGTGAGTGGGTGGTTGAGTGAGTGGATTGGTGAGTGGGTAGGTGGGTGAGTGAGTGGGTGGGTTAGTGAGTGAGTGAGTGGGTGGGTGAGTCGGTGGGTGAGTGGGTGGGTGAGTGAGTGAGTGGTGGGTGGGTGAGTGGGTTAGTAGGTGGGTGAGTGGGTGGGTGAGTGGGTGGGTGAGTGAGTGAGTGAGTGGGTGGGTGAGTGGGTGGTTGAGTGAGTGAGTGGGTGAGTGGGTGGGTGAGTGGGCGGGCGGGTGAGTGGGTGGGTGAGTGAGTGGGTGGGTGGGTGAGTGGGTGGGTGGGTGAGTGGGTGGGTGGGTGAGTGGGTGGGTGGGCGGGCGAGTGGGTGGGTGGGCGGGCGAGTGGGTGGGCGGGCGAGCGGGTGGGTGGGTGAGTGAGTGAGTGAGTGGGTGGGTGAGTGCATGGGTGGTTGAGTGGGTGGGTGGGTGGGTGAGTGCATGGGTGGGTGGGTGAATGGGTGGGTGGGTGAGTGTGTGGGTGGGTGAGTGCGTGGTTGGGTGGGTGGCTGGGTGGGTGGGTGGCTGGGTGGGTGGGCGGGCGAGTGGTGTGGCTGGTTGGGTGGGTGGCTGGGTGGGTGGGCGGGCAAGTGGGTGGGCGGGCGAGTGGGTGGGCGGGCGAGCGGGTGGGCGGGTGGGTGAGTGAGAGTGGGTGGGTGAGTGCGTGGGTGCGTGAGTGCGTGAGTGGGTGGGTGGGTGGGTGCGTGGGTGAGTACGTGGGTGTGTGAGGGAGTGAGTGGGTGGGTGGGTGGGTGAGTGCGTGGGTGGGTGAGTGGGTGGGTGAGTGGGTGGGTGAGTGGGTGGGTGAGTGGGTGGGTGAGTGTGTGGGTGGGTGAATGGGTGGGTGGGTGAGTGCGTGGGTGGGTGAGTGGGTGGGTGGGTGGGTGGGTGAGTGGGTGGCTGGGTGAGTGGGTGGCTGGGTGAGTGGGTGGCTGGGTGGGTGAGTGGGTGGCTGGGTGAGTGGGTGGTTGGGTGGGTGTGTGAGTGAGTGAGTGGGTGGGTGGGTGAGTGCATGGGTGGGTGGGTGAGTGGGTGGGTGCGTGGGTGGGTGGGTTGGTGGGTGGCTGGGTGGGTGGGTGGGCAAGTGAATGAATGTCCTTGTTTGTCAATGGGTGAGTTGGTTTACCAACTTTCCACTGGACTCCCCTCCCGCTCACCCCTCCCGCTCACCCTCCCGCTCACCCCCTCCCGCTCACCCCTCCTGCTCACCCCTCCCGCTCACCCTCCCGCTCACCCTCCCGCTCACCCTCTCGCTCACCCTCCCGCTCACCCCTCCCCCTCACCCCTGCCGCTCACCCTCCCGCTCACCCTCCCGCTCACCCTCCCGCTCACCCCTCCCGCTCACCCCTCCCGCTCACCCTCCCGCTCACCCCTCCCGCTCACCCCTCCCGCTCACCCCTGCCGCTCACCCCTGCCGCTCACCCCTGCCGCTCACCCTCCCGCTCACTCCTCACCCCTCACCCCTCCCGCTCACCCTCCCGCTCACCCTCGCGCTCACCCTCCCACTCACCCTCCCGCACACTCCTCACCCCTCCCGCTCACCCTCCCGCTCACCCTCGCGCTCACCCTCCCACTCACCCTCCCGCTCACTCCTCACCCCTCCCGCTCACCCTCCCGCTCACCCTCCCGCTCACCCTCCCGCTCACCCTCCCGCTCACGCCTCACCCCTGCCGCTCACCCCTCCCGCTCACCCTCCCGCTCACTCCTCACCCCTGCCGCTCACCCCTCCCGCTCACCCTCCCGCTCACCCTCCCGCTCACCCTCCCGCTCAGATCAAGGAGTATGAGAAGCTGGACTCTGAGGATGAACGTCTCCAGCGGAGCCGGCAAATCTACGACAAATACATCATGAAGGAACTTCTCTCATCCTCACACGTGGGCCCCTCACCACTCACTCACCACTCACTCACCACTCACTCACCACTCACTCACCACTCACTCACTCACCCACCCACTCACCACTCACTCACCCACTCACCCACTCACCCACTCACTCACTCACCCACTCACTCACCCACTCACTCATCCACCCACTCACCCACCCACTCACCCACCCACTCACCCACCCACTCACCCACCCACTCACCCACCCACTCACTCACCCACTCACTCACTCACTCGCTCACCCACTCGCTCACCCACTCGCTCACTCACTCACTCACTCTCTCACCCACCCACCTACCCACTCACTCACCCACTCACTCACCCACTCACTCACTCTCTCACCCACTCTCCCACCCACTCACCCACCCACCCACTTGCACTGAATGTTACTGACAGCACTGGGGGAGACAAAGGCAGACGGGAGGCATGGTGGGGGTGGTGCTCCCCTCCACCCCACCTTGCCCTTGCTCCTGTGGAATGTGTGAGCTACCTGGGGGAGCTCTACCTGTACCTTGTGTCTCTCCCACAGCCCTTCTCCAAAAAGGCGGTGGACCACGTCCAGACTCACCTGAGCAGACGACTCGTACCTAGCGCCCTGTTCCAGGTTCCTCACCACTCACCACTCACTCACCACTCACTCACCACTCACTCACCACTCACCTACTCACTCACCACTCACTCAACACTCACTCACTCACCACTCACCCACCCACTCACCCACCCACCCACTCACTCACCACTCACTCACCTACTCACTCACCCACACACTCACCTACTCACTCACTCACTTACCCACTCACTCACCCACTCACTCACTCACCTACTCACTCACTCACCCACTCACTCACTCACTCACCACTCACTCACTCACTCACTCACCTACTCACTCACTCACTCACCACTCACCCACTTACTCACTCACCACTCACTCACCACTCACTCACCACTCACTACTCACCACTCACTCACTAACCATTCACTCACCCACTCACCACTCACTCAACACTCACTCACCACTCACTCACTCACCCACTCACTCACTCACCCACTCACTCACTCACCCACTCACCACTCACCCACTCACTCACTCACCACTCACTCACCTACTCACTCACTCACCACTCACTCACTCACCCACTCACCACTCACTACTCACCTACTCACTCACTCACCACTCACTCACCACTCACTCACCACTCACCACTCACAACTCACTCACCACTCACTCACTCACCCACTCACCCACTCACTCACTCACCACTCACTACTCACTCACCACTCACTACTCACTCACCACTCACTCACCTACTCACTCACCACTCACTCACACACTCACCTACTCACTCACTCACCACTCACTCACTCACTAACCACTCACCACTCACTCACCCACTCACTCACTCACCCACCCACTCACCCACTCACCCACTCACTCACCACTCACTACTCACTCACCACTCACTCACCACTCACTCACCTACTCACTCACCACTCACTCACCACTCACTCACTCACTCACCCACTCACCTACTCACTCACTCACCACTCACCCACTCACTCACTCACCCACTCACCTACTCACTCACTCACCCACTCACCTACTCACTCACTCACCCACTCACCACTCACTCACCACTCACTCACCACTCACTCACTCTGTCACTCACTCACTCACTCACCTACTCACTCACTCACCACTCACTCACCACTCACTCACCACTCACTCACTCACTCACCACTCACTCACTCACTCACCACTCACTCACCACTCACTCACCACTCACTCACTCACTCACCATTCACTCACCACTCACTCACCACTCACTTACCACTCACTCACCACTCACCCACGCATGCTCACAGTCTGTGTGTGTGTCTGTGTGTGTGTGTCTGTGTGTGTGTGTCTGTGTGTTTGTCTTTGTGTGTGTTTGTGTCTGTGTGTGTCTGTGTTTATCTGTGTGTGTGTGTCTGCCTGTCTGTGTGTGTCTGTGTGTGTGTCTGTGTGTGTCTTTGTGTGTGTCTGTGTGTGTGTTTGTCTTTGTGTGTGTGTCCGTGTGTCTGCCTGTCTGTGTTTCTGCCTGTCTGTGTGTTTCTACAGCCGTATATCGAAGAGATATGCAGCAGTCTACAGGGAGAGATCTTTAAGAAATTCATAGACAGGTTAGTGTGGTGTGTGTACTGTGTCTACGTGTGTGCGCTGTGAGTGAGTGAGTGGGTGAGCAGGTCAAAGTGGGTGGGTTAGCAAGTGGGTGGGTGGGTGGGTGAGCGAGCGAGAGGGTGGGTGGGTGAGTGAGTGAGTGGGTGGGTGGGTCGGCGGGTGAGCGAGTGAGCGGGTGGGTAGGAGAGTGAGTTGGTGGCTGAGTCAGTTAACGAGTGGGTGGGTGGGCGAGCAGGCGGGCGAGTGGGTGAGCGAGCGAGTGGGTGAGCGAGCGAGTGGGTGAGCGAGCGAGTGGGTGAGCGAGTGAGTGGGTGAGCGAGCGAGTGGGTGAGTGGGTGAGCGGGTTGGTTGGTCGCTGTGTACGAGCGACGGCGAGGGGTCGTCCATGAGCCTTGTCGCTCTCCCCCCTCCCCCTGCAGTGAGAAGTTCACGCGGTTCTGCCAGTGGAAGAACGTGGAGCTGAATATTCACGTACGGACACACGTGCACACATACACACGCATGTACACACTTTACACACACACACGTATAAACACACACACGTATATACACGCACACGTATAAACACACACACATACACACGTATACACACGCACGTACACACGTATACACACACGTATATACACACACACACGTACACACACACACACACGCACGTACACACGTATACACACACACACACGTATAAACACACACACGTACACACACACACACGTACACATACGCATGTACACACACGCATGTACACACATACAGACGTATATATACACATACACACGTACACACACACACACGTACACACACACACGTACACACACACGTACACACATGCATGTACACACACACGTATATACATACACACACGTACACACACACAGACATTACATACACACAGACATTACATACACACTGAGACACACACACAGACATTACATACACACAGAGACACAACAACAACAACCGCCATTCGCCACTAAGTGGCGGACACGTCACCACGACGCTTGTGCCAGGCCATGTGCACCTTGAGGCCACGTGAAGTGTCGAACGCCCGCTGGCAGGAGGTCACGGGGCAGTCCCAGGTGCCACGGGTCGACTGACTGAGATGACTGGCTGATGCACCACCTGTGCCCCCGACTGTGCCAACCTGCTGTGCTTTAGCCACCCGGCGCTCCGCTCGTTGTTGTGAGCGTCGCTCCTCCGCCCTCCGTTGTTGTTGGAGGGCGACTGCCTCCAACTGCCCAGTAGCGTCCTTCACGAGCCTCCTCCACAGAGGCCGATCTTGACACCGCTGGTACCAGTCATCGGCAAGTCCACTCAGCTCCACGTCCTCCTGTACCACATCACTCCATCTCTACTCTAGCCCGTGCCGCGCCCGCTTAGCCCCCTCGATCCGGCCGAACAAAAGCTGTTTCGGCATGCGGTGGCTGGGCATGCGGGCTACATGACCCAGCCATCGCAGCCTTGCCCGCCGGAGGAGCTCACCGATGGGACCTTTCCCAGATCTTTCAAGGATTTGTGAGCTCCTCACACAACCCAGGATGGATCGTAGGCAGGCTAGCCTAAATGTTTCTAACCGGCGAAGATGTTCCATTAGGTGGGTCCACGTTTCGCAAGCGTAGAGAAGGGAGGGAATGACCGTGGCCGAGAAGACCTGAAGCTTAGTGTGGAACGACAGACCAGGTAGCTTCCACACAGCCTTACGCAACCGATGAAAAGATATTGCCGCTCGACTGATTCGGAGTGAGACCACACGTACACACGTACATACACACGTACATACACACACGTACACACACACGTACACACACGCATGGACACGCACGCACGTGTACACGCGCACGTACACAACACGCACGTACACACACGCACGTACACACACACGCACGTGCACACACACGTACGCACACACGTACACACGTACACACGTACACACACACACACGCAAACACGTACACACACGCACGTACAAACACGCACGTACACATGCACACGTACACACACGTACACACACGCATGTATACACACACGTACACACACGCATGTACGTATACACACACGTACACACATGCATGTACGTATACACACGTACACACGCGCACGTACACACACGCACGTACACACACATGCACGCGTACATACACGCACGTACACACACACGCACGTACACACATACGCACGTACACACATACGCACGTACACACACACGCACGTACACACACACGCACACGCACGTACACACACGCACGTACACACACATGCACGCACGTACACACACGCACATACACACACACGTACACACACATGCACGTACACACACGCACATACACACACGTACACACACGCATGTACGTATACACACGTACATGCACGCACGTACACACGCGCAAATACACACACGCACGTACACACACACGTACACATACACGCACGTGTACACATACATGCACGTATACACACACGCACGTACACACACACATGCACGTACACACACGCACGTACACACACACGCACGTACACACACGCACATACACACACGTACACACACGCATGTACGTATACACACGTACATGCACGCACGTACACACGCGCACATACACATACGCACGTACACACACGCACGTACACACACGCACGTACACACACACGCACGTACACACACGCACATACACACACGTACACACACGTACACACACGCATGTATGTATACACACGTACACACGCATGTACACGCATGCACGTACACACACACGCACGTACACACACACGCACGTACACACACACGCACCTACACACACACGCACCACGTACACACACACGTACGTACACACACGCACGTACACACGCACACGTACACACACACGCACCACGTACACACACACGCACCACGTACACACACACGCGCACGTACACACACACGCGCACGCACACACACACACGTACACACACACGCACCACGTACACACACGCACCACGTACACACACGCACGTACACACACGCACCACGTACACACACACGCGCATGTACACACACACGCACCATGTACACACACGTACACACACACGCACCACGTACACACGCACCACGTACACACATGCACCACGTATACACACACGCACCATGTACACACAAAGATAACAAAGATCCCCCATATAGCCTTAACAGGCTGTAGGGGCAAGTGCTGTTAGCGAGCACCTATGAAGGCCGGAACGATACACGAGGGGGTGGGTGGCCAGCACCACGCCCGACCGCCTTTGTCTCCCTAGTGGCAATGTTTACACACCGCACCAGGTACTCATTTGAGGCTGAGTCGACCTAGGAGAGGCCCCGGGACCGGTTCAGATAATCGTCACTGGTGTTGGCCGTGAGCGGGAATCGAACCCAGGTCGCCAGGTTCATAGCGCAGCGTAGCGCTAACCGCCACACCACCGCTCCCCACTATGTACACACACACACGTACACACACACGCACCACGTACACACACACACACCACGTACACACACACGCACCACGTACACACACACCACGTACACACACACGCACCACGTACACACACACGCACGTACACACGTACACACACGCATGCACGTGTACACACGTACACACACGCATGCACGTATACACACGTACACACACACGCACGTACACACACGTACACACACGCATGTACGTATACACACCTACACACGCATGTACACGCGCACGTACACATGCGCACGTACACACGCACGTACACACACGCACATACATACACGTATACACACGCATGTACGTATACACACGTACACGCACGCACGTACACACGCGCAAATACACACACGCACGTACACACACGTACACATACTACGCACGTACACACACACGCACGTACACACACAAACGTACACACACACGCACGTACACACACGCACGTACACACGCGCAAATACACACACGCACGTACACACACACGTACACATACACGCACGTACACACACACGCACGTACACACACGAACGTACACACACACGCACGTACACACACGCACGTACACACACACGCACGTACACACACGCACATACACACACGTACACACACGCATGTACGTATACACACGTACACACGTATGTACACACTCGCACGTACACACACGCACGTACACACACGCACCACGTACACACACACGCACCACGTACACACACGCACGTACACACACGCACCACGTACACACACACGCGCATGTACACACACACGCACCACGTACACACACACGCACCACGTGCACACACACGCGCACGTACACACACACGCACCACGTACACACACACGCGCACGTACACACACACGCGCACGCACACGCACACACACACACACACACGTACACACACACGCACCACGTACACACACGCACGTACACACACGCACCACGTACACACACACGCGCATGTACACACACACGCACCACGTACACACACACGCACCACGTACACACACACACGTACACACACGCACCACGTGCACACACACGTGCACGTACACACACACGCGCACGCACACACACACGTACACACACACGCACCACGTACACACACACGCACCACGTACACACACACACACGCACCACGTACACACACACGCACCACGTACACACACACACACGCACCACGTACACACACACACGCACCACGTACACACACACGCACCATGTACACACACACGCACCACGTACACACACACGCGCACGTACACACACACGCACCACGAACACACACACGCACCACGTACACACACACGCGCACGTACACACACGTACACACACACGCACCACGTACACACACACGCACGTACACACACACGCACCACGTACACACACACGCACGTACACACACACGCACCACGTACACACACGTACACACACACGCACCACGTACACACACACGCACCACGTACACACACACACGCACCACGTACACACACACGCACCACGTACACACACACACACGCACCACGTACACACACACACGCACCACGTACACACACACGCACCACGTACACACACACGCACCACGTACACACACGTACACACACACGCACCACGTACACACACACGCACGTACACACACACGCACCACGTACACACACGTACACACACACGCACCACGTACACACACACGCACCACGTACACACACACACGCACCACGTACACACACACGCACCACGTACACACACACACACGCACCACGTACACACACACACGCACCACGTACACACACACGCACCATGTACACACACACGCACCACGTACACACACACGCGCACGTACACACACGCACCACGTACACACACACGCACCACGTACACACACGCACGTACACACACGCACCACGTACACACACACGCGCATGTACACACACACGCACCACGTACACACACACGCACCACGTGCACACACAAGCACCACGTACACACACACACGCACCACGTACACACACACGCACCACGTACACACACACACGCACCACGTACACACACACACGCGCACGTACACACACACGCACCACGTACACACACACGCGCACGTACACACACACGCGCACGCACACGCACACACACACACACGTACACACACACGCACCACGTACACACACGCACCACGTACACACACGCACGTACACACACGCACCACGTACACACACACACGCACCACGTACACACACACGCACCACGTACACACACACGCACCACGTACACACACACGCACCACGTACACACACACGCACCACGTACACACACACACACACGCACCACGTACACACACACACGCACCACGTACACACACACGCACCATGTACACACACACGCACCACGTACACACACACGCACCACGTACACACACACACGCACCACGTACACACACACACGCACCACGTACACACACACACGCACCACGTACACACACACGCACCACGTACACACACACACACGTACACACACACGCACCACGTACACACACACGCACCACGTACACACACACGCACCACGTACACACACACGCACCACGTACACACACACGCGCACGTACACACACACGCACCACGAACACACACACGCACCACGTACACACACTTACACACACACGCACCACGTACACACACACGCACCACGTACACACACACACGCACCACGTACACACACACGCACCACGTACACACACACACACGCACCACGTACACACACACACGCACCACGTACACACACACACGCACCACGTACACACACACGCACCACGTACACACACACGCGCACGTACACACACGCACCACGTACACACACACGCACCACGTACACACACGCACGTACACACACGCACCACGTACACACACACGCGCATGTACACACACACGCACCACGTACACACACACGCACCACGTACACACACACGCGCATGTACACACACACGCGCACGCACACGCACACACACACACACACGTACACACACACGCACCACGTACACACACGCACCACGTACACACACGCACCACGTACACACACACGCGCATGTACACACACACGCACCACGTACACACACACACGCACACACACACGCGCACGCACACACACACACACACACGTACACACACACGCACCACGTACACACACACACGCACCACGTACACACACACGCACCACGTACACACACACACACACGCACCACGTACACACACATACGCACCACGTACACACACACGCACCATGTACACACACACGCACCACGTACACACACACGCGCACGTACACACACACGCACCACGTACACACACACACCACGTACACACACACGCACCACGTACACACACACACGCGCACGTACACACACACGCACCACGTACACACACACACCACGTACACACACACGCACCACATACACACACACGCACCACGAACACACACACGCACCACGAACACACACACGCACCACGTACACACACACGCGCACGTACACACACACGCACCACGTACACACACGTACACACACACGCACCACGTACACACACACTCACCACGTACACACACGTAGAGGTTACCTGGGGGACCTTTGTATTTGATGCTTGCCCCCCTCTGCCCCCCCTCCCTCCCCTCCTTCCCCTGCCCCCCCACCTGCCCCCCCACCTGCCCCCCCACCTGCCCCCCCATCTGCCCCCCCCCACCGTAGCTGACGATGAACGATTTCAGCGTCCACCGGATCATCGGGCGCGGGGGTTTTGGTGAAGTCTACGGCTGCCGTAAGGCCGACACGGGAAAGATGTGAGACTCCTCACCCGCACGCTCACCCTCACCCACACCCACACCCACACGCTCACCTACATGCTCACCACCACCCTCACCCACACCCTCACCCTCACCCACACCCTCACCCACCACCCTCACCCACACCCTCACCCACACCCTCACCCACACGCTCACCCTCACGCTCACCACCACCCTCACCCACACGCTCACCCTCACCCGCACGCTCACCCTCACCCACACGCTCACCCTCACCCTCACCCACACGCTCACCTACATGCTCACCACCACCCTCACCCACACCCACACCCTCACCCACACCCTCACCCACACGCTCACCCTCACCCACACCCTCACCCTCACCCACACCCTCACCTACACCCTCACCCACACCCTCACCCACACGCTCACCACCAGCCTCACCCACACGCTCACCCTCACCCGCACGCTCACCACCAGCCTCACCCACACCCTCACGCTCACCCTCACCCACACGCTCACCACCAGCCTCACCCACACACTCACCTACACCCCCACCTACATGCTCACCTACACGATCACCTACACGCTCACCCACACCCTCACCCACACCCACACCCTCACCCACATGCTCACCCATCCTCCTTGTCCATTCACCCTGCCACTCACTGTCTATCTGTCTGTGTATCATCTCCAATGTGCGTGTCTGTGTGTGTCTTCTATATCTGTGTGTGTGTGTGTCTCCCACTGTGTGTGAGATGGGGCCTTACCATCAGCCCCACCAAAACTAAGCACCTGCCTGGGTATTTTGTACCATCGGACACTCCACCCCCACAACTCCCAATTGTTGATGGGGCAGTTGTGGAGAGAGTGGAGAGTTTCCCATGCCTGGGCAGTGTGCTTATGACTGGCTCCGGTTTAACAGCAGAGGTCTCACTGCGAATCAGTCGAGCGGCAATATCTTTTCATCGGTTGCGTAACGCTGTGTGGAAGCTACCTGGTCTGTCTGTCGCTCCGCACTAAGCTTCAGGTCTTCTCGGCCACGGTCATTCCCTCCCTTCTCTGCGCTTGCGAAACGTGGACCCCCCTAATGGAACATATCTTCGCCGGTTAGAAACATTTAGGCTGGCCTGCCTACGATCCATCCTGGGTTTAACCAGACTGGATTGTGTGAGGAGCTCACAAATCCTTGAAAGATCTGGGCAAGGTCCCATCGGTGAGCTCCTCCGGCGGGCAAGGCTGCGATGGCTGGGTCATGTAGTCCGCATGCCCAGCCAACGCATGCCGAAACAGCTTTTGTTTGGCCGGATTGAGGGGGCTAAGCGGGCGCGGCACGGGCTAGAGAAGAGATGGAATGATGTGGTACAGGAGGACGTGGAGCTGAGTGGACTTGCCGATGACTGGTACCAGCGGTGTCAAGATCGGCCTCTGTGGAGGAGGCTCGTGAAGGATGCTACTGGGCAGTTGGAGGTAGTCGCCCTCCAACAACAACGGAGGGCGGAGGAGCGACGCTCAGAACAACGAGCGGAGCGCCGGGTGGCTAAAGCACAGCAGGTTGGCACAGTAGGGGGCACAGGTGGTGCATCAGCCAGTCATCTCAGTCAGTCGACCCGTGGCACCTGGGTCTGCCCCGTGACCTCCTGCCAGCGGGCGTTCGACACTTCACGTGGCCTCAGGGTGCACATAGCCTGGCACAAGCGTCGTGGTGACGTCACCGCCACTTAGTGGCGAATGGCGGTTGTTGTTGTTGTATCTGTGTGTGTGTATCTCTGTGTATGTGTGTATCTCTGTGTGTGTATCTCTGTGTATATCTCTGTATGTGTGTGTGTATCTCCGTGTGTATCTCTGTGTGTGTATCTCTGTGTGTGTGTGTATCTCTTTGTATGTGTATCTGTGTGTGTGTGTATCTGTGTGTGTATCTCTGGGGGGAGCGGTGGTGTAGGGTTTCGTGCTCCACTGCGAACCCGGCAGAGACCCCCGAGTTAGATTTCCACTCATGGCCACCACCACCGCCACCACCACCACCGCCACCGCCACCACCACCGCCACCACCGCCATCACCGCCACCGCCACCACCACCGCCACCACCACCACCACCGCCACCACTACCGCCACCACCACCGCCATCACCACCGCCATCACCGCCACCACCACCACCGCCACCACCACCACCGCCACCACTACCGCCACCACCACCGCCATCACCACCACCGCCACCACCACCACCACCGCCACCACCACCACCGCCACCACTACCGCCACCACCACCGCCATCACCGCCACCACCGCCACCACCGCCGCCACCACTACCGCCACCACCACCGCCATCACCACCACCGCCACCACTACCGCCACCACCACCGCCATCACCACCACCGCCACCACCGCCGCCACCACTACCGCCACCACCACCGCCATCACCGCCACCACCGCCACCACCGCCGCCACCGCCACCACCACCGCCGCCACCGGTCACAGAGATTATCTGACCTGGTCCTGGGCCTCCTCTAGGTCGACTCAGCCTGAAATGAGTTCTACCTGGTGTAGCTGTGGTGTGTGGTGAACATCGCCAGCACTGGGGGAGAGACAAAGGCGGCCGGGCGTGGTGCTGGTAGCCACCCACCCCCTCCGTGTGTGTAGCCACAGCTCCGGTAGCCTTCACAGGTGCTGTGAAAGCACTTGCCCCTTCAGCGTGTGAGAGGCTTCACGGGGGGAGGTGTGCACGTGTTTTATTTTGAGCAGGTACGCCATGAAGTGTCTGGACAAGAAGCGAATCAAGATGAAACAGGGAGAGACGCTGGCACTTAACGAGAGGATCATGCTGTCCCTCGTCAGTACCGGGGTGAGCGTAGTACCCTCACCACTCCTCACCGCTACTCACCACTACTCAGAACAGACTCACACACGCAGACTCACACACGCAGACACACACGCAGACACGCACGCAGACACACACGCAGACACACACGCAGACACACACACACAGGCACACACACACACACACAGACTCACACACAGAGACTCACACAAAGGCACACACACACACAGAGACTCACACACAGAGACTCACACACAGGCACACACAGATACTCACACACAGGCACACACACACAGACTCACACACATACACACGCGCAGACACAAACACAGACACACACACAGAGACTCACGCACAGAGACTCACGCACAGAGACTCATGCACAGAGACTCACGCACAGAGACTCACGCACAGAGACTCACACACAAAGACTCACACACAGAGACTCACACACAGAGACTCACACACAGACTCACACGCAGATTCACACGCAGATTCACACGCAGACACACACACAGAGACTCACACACAGAGACTCACACACAGGCACACACACACACAGACTCACGCACAGAGACTCACACACACAGAGACTCACACAGAGACACGCGCAGACACACACACAGACTCACACACACAGAGACTCACACACACAGACACACACACAGAGACTCACACGCAGACTCGCACACAGAGACTCACACACACAGAGACTCATATACACAGAGACTCACGCACAGAGACTCACACACAGAGACACACACACACACACACACAGACACACACACACAGACTCACACACACACAGACTCACACACACAGACACACTCACACACAGACTCACACACACACAGACTCACATACACAGAGACTCACGCACAAAGACTCACGCACAGAGACTCACACACAGAGACACACACACACAGACTCACACACACAGACTCACACACACAGACTCACACACACACAGAGATTCACACACAGAGACTCACGCACAGAGACTCACGCACAGAGACTCACGCACAGAGACTCACACACAGAGACTCACACACAGAGACTCACACACAGACTCACACGCAGACACACGCACACAGACTCACACACGGAGACTCACACACACAGAGACTCACACACAGAGACTCACACACAGGCACACAGACTCATACACAGACACACACACAGAGATTCACACACAGAGACGCGCACACAGAGACTCACGCACAGAGACTCACACACACAGAGACTCACACAGAGACACGCGCAGACACACACACAGACTCACACACACACAGACTCACACACACAGAGACTCACACACACAGACACACACACAGAGACTCACACGCAGACTCACACACAGAGACTCACACACACAGAGACTCACATACACAGAGACTCATGCACAAAGACTCACGCACAGAGACTCACACACAGAGACACACACACAGAGACACACACACACAGACTCACACACACAGAGACTCACACACACAGACACACACACACACAGACACACTCACACACAGAGACACACACAGAGACTCACACACGCAGATTCACACGCAGATTCACACGCAGACACACACACAGAGACTCACACACAGAGACTCACACACAGGCACACACACACACAGACTCACGCACAGAGACTCACACACACAGAGACTCACACAGAGACACGCGCAGACACACACACAGACTCACACACACAGAGACTCACACACACAGACACACACACAGAGACTCACACACACAGAGACCCACACAGACCCACAGAGACCCACACAGAGACCCACACAGAGACTCACGCACAGAGACTCACGCACAGAGACTCACACACAGAGACACACACACACAGACACACACACACAGACTCACACACACAGAGACTCACACACACAGACACACTCACACACAGACTCACACAGACTCACATACACAGAGACTCACGCACAAAGACTCACGCACAGAGACTCACACACAGAGACACACACACACAGACTCACACACACAGAGACACACACACAGACTCACACACACACAGAGATTCACACACAGAGATTCACGCACAGAGACTCACGCACAGAGACTCACGCACAGAGACTCACGCACAGAGACTCACACACAGACTCACACACAGACTCACACGCAGAGACTCACGCACAGAGACTCACACACAGAGACTCACACACAGAGACTCACACACAGAGACTCACACACAGACTCACACGCAGACACACACACACAGACTCACACACAGAGACTCACACACAGAGACTCACACACAGGCACACAGACTCACACACAGACACACACACAGAGATTCACACACAGAGACGCGCACACAGAGACTCACGCACAGAGATTCACACACACAGAGACTCACACAGAGACACGCGCAGACACACACACAGACTCACACACACACAGACTCACACACACAGAGACTCACACACACAGACACACACACACACAGAGACTCACACGCAGACTCACACACAGAGACTCACACACACAGAGACTCACATACACAGAGACTCACGCACAGAGACTCACACACAGAGACACACACACAGAGACACACACACACAGACTCACACACACAGAGACTCACACACACAGACACACACACACAGACACACACACACAGACACACTCACACACAGAGACTCACACACACAGAGACTCACACACACAGAGACTCACACACACAGAGACTCACACACACAGATACACACACACAGACTCACACACACACAGAGCCTCACACACACAGAGGCTCACACACAGAGACTCACACACAGAGACACACACACAGAGACTCACACACACAGAGACTCACACACACAGACTCACACACACACACTCACACACAGAGACTCACACACGCAGGCACACGCGCAGACACACGCGCAGACACACGCGCAGACACACGCGCAGACACACACAGAGACTCACACACACAGACTCACACACAGAGACTCACACACAGAGACTCACACAGAGACTCGCACACAGGCACACACACACATGTTGATGGTGATGATGTTTACGGTGGTGATGATATTGATGGTGTTGATGGTGATGATGTTGATGATGGTGATGATGGTGATGATCTTGATGGTGGTGATGATGTTGATGGTGGTGATGATGGTGATGATGTTGATGGTGATGATGATGATGGTGATGATGTTGATGGTGGTGATGGGGGTGATGGTGATGGTGGTGATGGTGGTGATGATGGTGATGATGGTGATGATGTTGATGGTGGTGGTGATGGTGATGATGTTTATGATGTTGATGGTGGTGATGGTGGTGATGGTGATGATGTTGATGGTGGTGATGATGGTGGTGATGATGGTGATGGTGGTGATGATGTTGTTGATGATGTTGATGGTGGTGATGATGTTGATGGTGATGATGGTGGTGATGTTGATGATGGTGATGATGGTGGTGATGGTGATGATGGTGGTGATGGTGATGATGTTGATGATGATGTTGATGGTGATGTTGATGATGATGATGTTGATGGTGGTGATGATGGTGATGGTGGTGATGATGTTGGTGATGTTGATGGTGGTGATGGTGGTGATGGTGATGATGTTGATGGTGGTGATGGTGGTGATGGTGATGTTGATGGTGGTGATGATGGTGATGGTGGTGATGGTGGTGATGATATTGATGGTGGTGATGATGGTAATGGTGGTGATGATGTTGATGATGTTGATGGTGGTGATGGTGATGGTGATGATGGTGGTGATGGTGGTGATGATGTTGTTGATGATGTTGATGGTGGTGATGGTGATGATGGTGGTGATGGTGGTGATGATGTTGTTGATGATGTTGATGGTGGTGATGGTGATGGTGGTGATGGTGATGGTGGTGATGGTGATGATGGTGGTGATGATGGTGGAGATGATGGTGGTGATGATGTTGATGGTGATGATGGTGGTGATGATGATGGTGGTGATGATGGTGGTGATGGTGATGATGTTGATGGTTGTGATGATGGTGGTGATGATGTTGATGGTGGTGATGTTGATGGTGGTGATGGTGATGATGGTGATGATCGTGATGATCTTGATGGTGGTGGTGATGTTGATGATGGTGGTGATGATGATGGTGGTGATGATGATGATGGTGGTGATGGTGATGGTGATGATGATGGTGATGATGGTGATGGTGATGATGATGGTGGTGATGATGGTGGTGGTGGTGATGATGGTGGTGATGGGGGTGATGGTGATGGTGGTGATGGTGGTGATGATGGTGATGATGGTGATGATGTTGATGGTGGTGGTGATGGTGATGATGTTTATGATGTTGATGGTGGTGATGGTGGTGATGGTGATGATGTTGATGGTGGTGATGATGGTGGTGGTGATGATGTTGATGGTGATGATGGTGGTGATGATGATGGTGATGATGGTGATGATGATGGTGGTGATGGTGGTGATGATGGTGATGATGCTGATGTTGATGGTGATGATGATTGTGATGATGGTGATGTTGATGGTGATGATGATGGTGATGATGATGGTGATGATGATGATGGTGATGATGATGGTGATGATGGTGATGATGGTGGTGATGGTGATGGTGGTGATGGTGATGATGGTGATGATGATGGTGATGATGATGATGGTGATGATGATGTTGATGTCGTTACAGCAAGACTGCCCGTTCATCGTGTGCATGACGTACGCCTTCCACACGCCCGACAAACTCTGCTTCATCCTGGACCTCATGAACGGTGGGTGGTTGTGGGTGGTTGTGGGTGGGTGTGGGTGGGTGTGGGTGGGTGTGGGTGGGTGTGGGTGTGTGTGGGTGGGTGTGGGTGGGTGTGGGAGCGTGTGTGGGTGGGTGGGTGGGTGGGTGGGTGGGTGTGGGTGAGTGTGTGGGTGGGTGTGTGTAGGTGGGTGTGGGTGAGTGTGGGTGAGTGTGTGGGTGGGTGTGGGTGGGTGGGGGGTGTGGTGGTGGGTGTGTGGGTGTGGGTGGGAGGGTGTGGGTGGGTGTGGGTGGGTGTGGGTGAGTGTGGGTGAGTGTGGGTGGGTGGGTGAGTGTGGGTGGGTGAGTGTGAGTGTGGGTGGGTGAGGGTGGGTGAGTGTGGGTGAGTGTGGGTGAGTGTGGGTAGGTGAGTGTGGGTGGGTGAGTGGGCTGTGTGGGTGAGTGTGGGTGGGTGAGTGTGGGTGGGTAAGTGGGCTGTGTGGGTGAGTGGGCTGTGTGGGTGAGTGTGGGTGGGTGAGTGGGCTGTGTGGGTGGGTGAGTGGAGAGTTTCCCATACCTGGGCAGTGTGCTTATGACTGGCTCCGGTTTGACAGCAGAGGTCTCACTCCGAATCAGTCGAGCGGCAATATCTTTTCATTGGTTGCGTAACGCTGTGTGGAAGCTACCTGGTCTGTCGCTCCGCACTAAGCTTCAGGTCTTCCCGGCCACGGTCATTCCCTCCCTTCTCTACGCTTGCGAAACGTGGACCCCCCTACTGGAACATCTTTGCCGGTTAGAAACATTTCGGCTGGCCTGCCTACGATTCATCCTGGGTTTAACCAGACTGGATTGTGTGAGGAGCTCACAAATCCTTGAAAGATTTGGGCAAGGTCCCATCGGTGAGCTCCTCCGGCGGGCAAGGCTGCGTTGGCTGGGTCATGTAGCCCGCATGCCCAGCCACCGCATGCCGAAACAGCTTTTGTTTGGCCGGATCGAGGGGGCTAAACGGGCGCGTTACAGGTTAGGGAAGAGATGGAGTGATGTGGTACAGGAGGACGTGGAGCTGAGTGGACTTGCCGATGACCGGTACCAGCGGTCTCAAGATCGGCCTCTGTGGAGGAGGCTCGTGAAGGATGCTACTGGGCAGTTGGAGGCAGTCGCCCTCCAACAACAACGGAGGGCGGAGGAGCGACGCTCACAACAACGAGCGGAGCGCCGGGTGGCTAAAGCACAGGAGGTTGGCACAGTAGGGGGCACAGGTGGTGCATCAGCCACTCATCTCAGTCATCTCAGTCAGTCGACCCGTGGCACCTGGGTCTGCCCCGTGACCTCCTGCTTCACGTGGCCTCAAGGTGCACATGGCCTGGCACAAGCGTCGTGGTGACATCACCGCCACTTAGTGGCGAACGGCGGTTGTTGTTGTGGGTGAGTGGGTGAGGGTGTGTGGTTGAGAGTGTGGGTGTGTGGGTGAGAGTGTGGGTGAGTGTGGGTGGGTGGGTGAGTGAGAGTGGGTGTGGTGGTGTTCGTGTTGATGATGGTGGTTGTGGTGATGGTGGTTGTGGTGATAATGATGGTGGTTGTGGTGGTTGTTGTACAGTAGGCGACCTGCACTACCACCTCTCCCAGCACGGAGTGTTCACTGACAAGGAGATGATGATGGTGGTTGTGGTGATGGTGGTTGTGGTGATGGTGGTTGTGGTGATGGTGGTTGTGGTTGTGGTGATGGTGGTTGTGGTGATGGTGGTTGTGGTTGTACAGGAGGCGACCTGCACTACCACCTCTCCCAGCATGGAGTGTTCACAGACAAGGAGGTGATGATGGTGGTTGTGGTGATGGTGGTTGTGGTTGTGGTGATGGTGGTTGTGGTGATGGTGGTTGTGGTGATGGTGGTTGTGGTTGTTGTACAGGAGGCGACCTGCACTACCACCTCTCCCAGCACGGAGTGATCACAGACAAGGAGATGGTGATGGTGGTTGTGGTGATGGTGGTTGTGGTGATGGTGGTTGTGGTGATGGTGGTTGTGGTGGTTGTTGTTGTGGTTGTGGTGATGGTGGTTGTGGTTGTCGTGATGGTGGTTGTGGTGGTTGTTGTACAGGAGGCGACCTGCACTACCACCTCTCCCAGCACGGAGTGTTCACGGACAAGGAGATGGTGGTTGTGGTGATGGTGGTTGTGGTTGTGGTGATGGTGGTTGTGGTTGTGGTGATGGTGGTTGTGGTGATGGTGGTTGTGGTGATGGTGGTTGTTGTTGTACAGGAGGCGACCTGCACTACCACCTCTCCCAGCACAGAGTGTTCACGGACAAGGAGATGATGATGGTGGTTATGGTGATGGTGGTTGTGGTGATGGTGGTGATGGTGGTTGAGGTTGTGGTGATGGTGGTTGTGGTTGTGGTGATGGTGGTTGTGGTTGTACAGGAGGCGACCTGCACTACCACCTCTCCCAGCACGGAGTGTTCACAGACAAGGAGATGCGCTTCTACGCAGCGGAGATCATCCTGGGCCTGGAGCACATGCACAACCGCTCCGTGGTCTACCGAGACCTCAAGGTGAGCTCACCACACGCTCACCGCACGCTCACCCACACGCTCACCACACGCTCACCCACACGCTCACCCACACGCTCACCACACGCTCACCCACACGCTCACCCACACGCTCGCCCACACGCTCACTCACACGCTCACCCACACGCTCACCCACACGCTCGCCCACACGCTCACCCACACACTCACCCACACGCTCACCCACACGCTCACCCACACACTCACCCACACACTCACCCACATGCTCACCCACACGCTCACCCACACGCTCACCCACACGCTCACCCACACGCTCACCCACACTCTCACCCACACGCTCACCCACACACTCACTCACCCACTCAATCTCTCACCCACTCACTCACCTGCCCACCCACTCACCCACACGCTCACCCACACACTCACCCACACACTCACCCACACACTCACCTGCCCACCCACTCACTCGCTCACCCACTCGTTTGCTCTCCCACACACAATACGTCCCCACCTACCCAGCCCCCACCTACCCACTCACCCACCCAGCTACTTACCCACCAACTCACTCACCCACCAACTCACCCACCGACTCACCCACCCACCCACTCACTCACCCACCTACCTACCCACCCACTCACCCACCAACTCACTCACCCACCAACTCACTCACCCACCCACCCACCGACTCACTCACCCACCTACCCACCCACTCACCCACCAACTCACTCACCCACCAACTCACTCACCCACCCACCAACTCACCCACCCACCAACTAACTCACCCACCAACTAACTCACCCACCAACTCACTCACCCACCAACTTACTCACCCACCAACTCACTCACCCACCCACCCACCAACTAACTCACCCACCAACTCACCCACCTACCAACTCACCCACCAACTCACTCACCCACCCACCAACTAACTCACCCACCAACTCACTCACCCACCAACTTACTCACCCACCAACTCACTCACCCACCCACCAACTAACTCACCCACCAACTAACTCACCCACCAACTAACTCACCCACCTACTCACTCACCCACCGACTCACCCACCCACCCACCGACTCACCTACCCACCAACTCACCCACCCACCTACCCACCCACTCACCCACCGACTCACCTACCCACCTACTCACCCACCAACTAACTCACCCACCCACTCACCCACCTACTCACTCACCCACCAACTCACCCACCCACCAACTCACCCACCTACCCTCACCCACCCACCTACTTGTATGTGTCTGTGAGTGTGATGTTGAGCGGTGGTGCAGCGGTTAGCGCTACGCTACGCTATGAACCTGGCGACCTGAGTTCAATTCCCGCTCACGGCCAACACCAGCGACGATTATCTGAACCGGTCCTCCCCTAGGTCGACTCAGCCTCAACTGAGTAGCTGGTGCAGCGGTGTGTAGTGAACATCGCTACTGGGGAGACAAAAGCGGCCGGGCGTGGTGCTGGCCACTCACCCCCTCCTGTGCCGTGCCGGTCTTCATAGGTGCTCGCTAACAGCACTTGCCCCTACAGTCTGTTAAGGCTGCACGGGGATCTTTAGCTTTTTCTCTGTGTGTGTGTGTGTCCGTGTGTGTGTGTCTGAGCGTGTGTCTGTGTGTGTCTGTGTGTCTGTATGTGTCTGAGCGTGTGTCTGTGTGTGCGTGTGTGTCTGTGTGTGTGTCCGTGTGTGTGTGTCTGAGCGTGTGTGTGTGTGTCCGTGTGTGTGTGTCTGTGTGTGCGTGTGTGTCTGAGCGTGTGTGTCTGAGCGTGTGTCTGTGTGTGTCTGTGTGTCTGTGTGTGTCTGAGCGTGTGTCTGTGTGTGTGTGTGTGTGTCTGTGTGTGTGTCCGTGTGTGTGTGTCTGAGCGTGTGTCTGTGCGTGTGTCTGTGTGTGTCTGTGTGTGTGTGCGTGTGTCTGTGTGTGTGTCCGTGTGTGCGTGGTCTAGCCGGCCAACATCCTGCTGGACGAGCATGGCCACGTCCGCATCTCAGACCTCGGCCTGGCCTGCGACTTCTCAAAGAAGAAGCCCCACGCCAGCGTGTGAGCTCACCACCACGCTCACCACCACGCTCACCACCACGCTCACCACCACGCTCACCACCACACTCACCACCACACTCACCAACACGCTCACCACCACACTCACCACCACACTCACCCGCACACTCACCACCACACTCACCACCACACTCACCCGCTCAGTCGCTCAGCCAGTCACTCAACCGCACACTCACCCGCTCACCCGCACACTCACCCGCTCAGCCGCTCACTCGCACGCTCACCCGCTCACTCGCTCACCCGCTCACCCGCTCACTCGCTCACCCGCTCACTCGCTCACCCGCTCAGCCGCACACTCAACCGCTCACCCGCCCAGCCACTCACTCGCCTGCTCGCTCGCTCACTTGCACACTCACTCGCTCACTCACTCACTCACCCTCTCACTCACCCACTCACTCACCCACGCACTCACTCACTCACTCACACGCTCACACTCACCCACGCACTCACTCACCCACTCACTCACCCGCTCACTCACACGCTCACACACACCCACGCACTCACTCATCTGCTCACTCACATGCTCATACACACCCACGCTCACACACACTCACCCACTCACTCACTCACCCACTCACTCACACGCTCACCCACTCACTCAGACGCTCACCCACACCCACCCACGCACTCACTCACTCACACGCTCACTCACTGACACGCTCACACCCACCCACTCACTCACTCACTCACCCACTCACTCACACGCTCACACCCACTCACTCACTCACCCACTCACTCACACGCTCACCGACTCACTCACTCACCCACTCACTCACACGCTCACCCACACCCACGCACTCACTCACTCACATGCTCACTCACTCACACACTCACACCCACTCACTCACTCTCCCACTCACTCACCCACTCATTCACCTACTCACTCACACGCTCACACACACCCACGCTCACACCCACACCCACGCTCACATACACTCACTCACCCACGCACTCACTCACTCACTCACCCACTCATCTGCTCACTCACCCGCTCACTCACGCACTCACTCACACGCTCACCCACACCCACGCTCACACACACCTACTCACCCACTCACTCACACGCTCACTCACACGCTCACACTCACCCACGCACTCACCCACTCACTCACCCACTCACTCACACTCATCCACGCACTCACCCACTCACTCACACTCACCCACTCACTCACCCACTCACTCACCCACCCACTCACTCACTCACACACACTCACTCACCCACGCACTCACCCACTCACTCTCCCACTCACTCACACTCACCCACGCACTCACCCACTCACTCACACACACCCACTCACCCACTCACTCTCCCACTCACTCACACTCACCCACGCACTCACCCACTCACTCACACACACCCACTCACCCACTCACTCACCCACTCACTCACACACTCACTCACCCACTCACTCACCCACTCACTCACCCACTCACTCACCCACTCACTCACTCACCCACTCTTCTGCTCACTCTATCTCCCCTCTCTCTCCCACCCTCCCACCCTCCCCACTCCCCCCGTGTGTAGGGGTACTCATGGCTACATGGCCCCCGAGGTTCTGCAGAAGGGGACGGCTTACGACAGCAGCGCCGACTGGTTCTCTCTGGGCTGCATGCTCTTCAAGTTGCTACGGGGGTACAGCTACACACAGCTACACACACACAGCTACACACACACACAGCTACACACAACAACAACAACCGCCATTCGCCACTAAGTGGCGGTGACGTCACCACGACGCTTGTGCCAGGCTATGTGCACCCTGAGGCCACGTGAAGTGTCGAATGCCCGCTGGCAGGAGGTCACGGGGCAGACCCAGGTGCCACGGGTCGACTGACTGAGATGACTGGCTGATGCACCACCTGTGCCCCCTGCTGTGCCAACCTGCTGTGCTTTAGCCACCCGGCGCTCCGCTCGTTGTTCTGAGCGTCGCTCCTCCGCCCTCCGTTGTTGTTGGAGGGCGACTACCTCCAACTGCCCAGTATCATCCTTCACGAGCCTCCTCCACAGAGGCCGATCTTGACACCGCTGGTACCGGTCATCGGCAAGTCCACTCAGCTCCACGTCCTCCTGTACCACATCACTCCATCTCTTCTCTAGCTCGTCCCGCGCCCGCTTAGCCCCCTCAATCCGGCCAAACAAAAGCTGTTTCGGCATGCGGTGGCTGGGCATGCGGGCTACATGACCCAGCCAACGCAGCCTTGCCTGCCGGAGGAGCTCACCGATGGGACCTTGCCCAGATCTTTCAAGGATTTGTGAGCTCCTCACACAATCCAGCCTGGTTAAACCCAGGATGGATCGTAGGCAGGCCAGCCTAAATGTTTCTAACCGGCGAAGATGTTCCATTTTGGGGGGTCCACGTTTCGCAAGCGCAGAGAAGGGAGGGAGTGACCGTGGGCGAGAAGATCTGAAGCTTAGTGCGGAGCGACAGACCAGGTAGCTTCCACACGGCGTTACGCAACCGATGAAAAGATATTGCCGCTCGACTGATTCGGAGTGAGACCTCTGCTGTTGAACTGGAGCCGGTCATAAGCACACTGCCCAGGTATGGGAAACTCTCCACTCTCTCCACAACTGCCCCATCACCGATTGGGAGTTGGGGGGGTGGAGTGTCCAATGGTACAAAATACCCAGGCAGGTGCTTAGTTTTGGTGGGGCTGATGGTAAGGCCCCATCTCTTAGTGGCACGCTCCAGTCTCAGCAGCAGCGTCTCCAACTCCTCCTCTGACTGAGCAGCTATTACCAAATCATCGGCATACATAACGTGGTTGAGCAATTGGGAGCCATCCCTTGACCGCACCCGGGCATCGATCAGCCTCCCATTATATCTGTACCATATGGAGATTCCCCCGGTACAGCTATTGAAGGCTTCACGAACTACGTGGTCAAAATAGATGTTAAATAATGTGGGAGCCAGAGGACATCCCTGTCGCATCCCAAGGTGTACAGGGAATGGCTCTGACTCCCGGCCACGTAGTTTTACCTGCGCCCGCTCACCATCATGAAGGTCCTTAATGATCGTGAGCAGAGGGTCAGGGACTCCAAAAGCACGAAGAACAACCCAGAGCCCAGGCCTACTGATGGTATCATAGGCCTTGACCAGGTTAATAAAGCAGAGATTTAGGTCTTGTTGGAATTCCCTACACCTCTGCTGTAGCAGAAAATATGGCATCTGTGCAGGACCGCCCTTTCCTGAAATCGCATTGGGGCTCTGCAAGCCTCTCCTCAGCATACTTAGCAAGGTGATGTTGAATAATCCTTTCCAGGACCTTTCCCGGCACACTGAGGAGTGAGATGCCCCTGTAGTTGTTACAGTCTGTGCGGTCCCCCTTCTTGAAGAGGGGGACCACCAGGGCATCCTTCCAATCCTGCGGAACCTGTCCAGTGGCCCAGACTGTTGTTATGATGTCATATAGGGCAGTCTGTGCACAAACGCCACCCTCCCTCAGCATTTCGCTTGGGAGATCATCTCTGCCCGGTGCCTTTCCTCGTCTCAGACTCCGGATCGCCTTCAGTACTTCCTCAACAGATGGCATCTCAGCCAGCCACTCACAGGGGGTGACTTGTTCCAATATTTGAGGCACCGCAGCCTCAGCAGGGTCATCCCCACTTTGTGCCACGATGTTTTCCTGGCTGAGGGATTTCCCCTCCCCCAGCACCTCACAGAAATGCTCAGAAAATCTGCAAACCTGTTCCTGGGGGTCGGAGATTGGGTCACCGTTTTTTCCTCTAATGATGGTAATAGGTGTGGCGCTGCAGGTTACTTTTTTGATGGAGTTAAATAGAGATTTGTGATCACGGGCCACTGAGGCAGACTCCATCTCCTCAGCAACCCGCCACCACCACCCATCCTTGCAGCGCCTCATGGCTCTCCGTACCTCCGAGCGAAGGCTGCGGTAAGCCTCCTCATTCTCTGACATGGGATTCTGTAGCCGATGACAGTGGGCTTGTCGCTTTTTCTCAACCATCCTGAACACCTTCTCAGTCTGCCAGGGTCTCTGGGGAGGCCTGGACCGCGTACCCAAAGCAGCCATTGCAGCTGCATGAGTCACAGTCCTAAACCTCGCCCATTTACCCTCGACATCAGGAGGAGTGGGGGACGATGCCAACCCCAGCCGCACGCGATGATCAAATTCTCGCTTGCAACTTTCATCAGATAACTGAGACCAGGCCACTTTAGGTTGGAATGGGGTCCTGGGTGTACACCCACCACCGGAGTGGAAGAATGGCAGGCGCATCTTACAGATGACTAGTCGATGGTCAGAGGGCAGATCAGCTCCACGGTAGGTCCTGGTGTCAAGGACATGGGCTCGCATCCGCTGGTCCGTCACTATGTAGTCCAGCAGATGTTCTTGCTTGGACCCGGCATGCATCCATGATGTTGTGCGGATGCGCCGATGCCGGAACAGCGTGTTGGTAATTACAAGCCCATGGGCTGCACAACAATCTAGCAGCCTCCTACCGTTGTTATTGAGCTGATCTGGCTCATGCCCTCCAATCACTCCAGACCAGGTGCCAGCATCATGACCAACTCGGGCATTGAAGTCACCCAACATGATGATTCTATCCCGAGGTGCCACTTTAGCCAGCACCTGTGACAGGAGGTCATAGAAGGCATCTGACTCATCGGCTTTGCCTGCATCCCTCCACGGATGTTCATCTTCGGTGGGGGCATAAGTAACCACGACCACCACTCCTCGCCTCCGGTTGATGGGAAGGCGAGCCCAAAGTAGCCTGGGGCTTACAGCTTCCCACACCTCACCGCCATGCTCCCACACCCCCTTCATTCTTTTGTTTAAAAGAAGAGCCACACCCTGTTGTTTGCCATTCTGCTGCCCCGAGTAGAGGACTGTCCACCCCTCATGGTGGCAGGAGCCAGAACCGGTCCACCGGAGCTCCTGAATGCCACACAGATCCAGGCGGTACCGGTCCAGCTCCTGACAGAGGAGTGGCAGCCTCTCCTCCGCAGTGAGCGTTCGAACATTCCACGTGGCCATCCATAGTGGCTTTTCATTGTTTCTGGAGGAGATTCAATCTCCTGGCTCCGCCAATTGGGGTTTGGCCAGGAGACGTCATAGACTTCTGTCCCCCCGGGGCCTCCGGCACAAGCTTATTAGTTAGATATTTTAGTCGTGGTTTAGTGGTAATTTATTGAAGGTGGAGGGGTTACCAGCCCCTCGCACCCGTCCAAAGCCCCCGTTTAGCCCCTGTGGTGGACACAGACGCCATGAGGGGAGAGGGCCAATCTGAAATGAGGGGAGAGGGCCAATCGGAATTGGCTCTCTCCCCACAGCACTGTCCACGACAGAGTTGCCCGTCCGGCACCGCGAGGAGGTAGGGGGTTGTTTTGCCTGACAAAACCTGCTACACACAGCTACACACACACACACACAGCTACCCACAGCTACACACAGCTACACACACACAGCTACACACAGCTACACACAGCTGCGTGTCTCTCTGCGTGCCTCTGTCTCTCTGTGTGTCTCTGTGTCTCTCTGCGTGTGTCTCTGTATCTCTGTGTGTCTCTGCGTGTGTCTCTGCGTGTGTCTCTCTGTGTCTCTCTGCGTATGTCTCTTCGTGTGGCTCTCTGTGTCTCTGTGTGTCTCTGCGTGTGTCTCTGTATGTCTCTGTGTGTGTCTCTGTGTCTCTGTGTATCTCTGCGTGTGTCTCTGTGTATCTGCGTGTGTCTCTGTGTCTCTGCGTGTGTCTCTGTCTCTGCGTGTGTCTCTGTGACTCTGCGTGTGTCTCTCTGTGTCTCTCTGTGTCTCTGTGTGTCTGTGTGTGTCTCTGCGTGTGTCTCTGCGTGTCTCTCTGCGTGTGTCTCTGTGTCTCTGCTTGTGTCTCTGTGTCTCTGTGTGTCTGCCTGTCTCTCTGTGTCTCTGCTTGTGTCTCTGTGTCTCTCTGTGCCTCTCTGTGTCTCTGCATGTGTCTCTGCGTGTGTCTCTGTGTCTCTGTGTGTCTCTCTGTGTCTCTGCGTGTGTCTGCATGTCTGCGTGTGTCTCTGCATGTGTCTCTGTGTGTCTCTGCGTGTGTCTCTCTGTGTGTCTCTGTGTCTCTGTGTGTCTCTGTGTCTCTCTGTGTCTCTGTGTGTCTCTGTGTCTCTCTGTGTCTCTGTGTGTCTCTCCGTGTCTCTGCGTGTGTCTCTGTGTGTCTCTCTGTGTCTCTGCGTGTGTCTCTCTGTGTCTCTCTGTGTCTCTGTGTTTCTCTCTGTGTCTCTGTGTTTCTCTCTGTGTCTCTGTGTCTCTCTCTGTGTGTCTCTGTGTGTCTCTGTGTCTCTGCTTGTGTCTCTGTGTCTCTCTGTGTCTCTCTGTGTCTCTGTATCTCTGTGTCTCTGCGTGTGTCTCTCTGTCTCTGTGTCTCTGCTTGTGTCTCTGTGTCTCTCTGTGTGTCTGTGTGTCTGCCTGTCTCTCTGTGTCTCTCTGTGTCTCTCTGTGTCTCTGCTTGTGTCTCTGTGTCTCTCTGTGCCTCTCTCTGTCTCTGTATCTCTGTGTCTCTCTGTGTCTCTGTGTGTCTCTGTGTCTCTCTGTGTCTCTCTGTGTCTCTGTGTGTCTCTGCGTGTGTCTCTGTGTGTCTCTGTGTCTCTCTGTGTCTCTGCGTGTGTCTCTCTGTGTCTCTCTGTGTCTCTGTGTGTCTCTGTGTCTCTGTGTTTCTCTCTGTGTCTCTGTGTTTCTCTCTGTGTCTCTCTCTGTGTCTCTCTGTGTGTTTCTCTGTGTGTCTCTGTGTGTCTCTGTGTGTCTCTCTGTGTCTCTGCGTGTGTCTCTCTGTGTCTCTCTGTGTCTCTGTGTGTCTCTCTGTCTCTGTGTGTCTCTGTGTGTGTCTCTGTGTGTCTCTCTGTCTCTGTGTGTCTCTGTGTGTCTCTGTGTCTCTGTGTGTCTCTGTGTCTCTCTGTGTCTCT